ATCTTATTAAATGTGTGTTTGATTTTCAATATCATTAACTGTTCATAACCTGTACTTAAGGAAAGTTCATAATGTGTATTTAAGGACTTCAAAGGTTTCATCTTGTTGGGTTCAACCTTCTTTGACTGCCATTGGAGTTTCAAACCATTAGAAAAAATCTTGAGTTGCAAATATATGTTTCAAAAATTCATCCACCAATACCTTCAAATACTCATATCAAGAAACCTTGGATTTTCAAATGGGTTTTAGATTCAAATGGATTATTCCGTGAAGAATGAGACCAAGTAATCAGGAAAAATAGATATTTTGATTATTAGAATAAAGAGAGACAAATTGTTGGAAAAAGCCTGGGATAGTGTATCTGAATCTAGATCGATCTTGAAGATTGGTGCATTTGGTTAACGCAAATTAGAATAACTCAAATCAAAATGACGAGAAACAAATCATAATAAAACAATAGAAGGCATTGCTAGGATTACATACCAAAGTTGTTGAAACACAAGTTCCATAGGCCAATGGTACCCCTTATTTTTTTATTTTTTATTTTATTTTATTTTTTTTCTTCACAGTTTCCTTGATTTGAGTTTTTGACTCTTTTGGAGACTACCAAATAGGACGGTGGTGGTGAAAAAAGAAGCAAAATGTAAGAATTTTATTATTATTTCTCTTGCCATATGTGATTGTATATATTTATGTATATATCTATTTGGTTTATTGTTGTATATATCTATATATCATACCATTTTACTACAAGATCCTAGCACACTTTTTTAATGTAAAACAGGTTTCCCATCATCATGATCCGGCTCATGGCATCCATTTAATTTTCGTAATCACAAATTTTCTATAATGTGACATATACTAGCTTATTATATCTAATGGTAAAATTTTGTGTAACGACCTTAAACTGAATACCGAAAATAATAAAAAATTTAAAAAAAAATTCGGCATGACTTCCGCTAAAAATGGTCCTACAACAACCTGTTCAAATGAAAAAAAACAACGGCCTTTCAAGACCTATTCAACCTGCCCCAACACACAATACAAAAGGAATATAATGCATTCCCCAATACCACAATATCAACAACCTTATCAAATTAGCTCATCATCGTCATCCCCTTCAACTTAAGCATTTACATGGTCTCAGTTTACAACAAAAATAATCAAGTATCTTAGTTATGTTACAGGGTCATGATTTGCAAAAATAAATATTCTTTTACATAATTTGAGACAATACAAAAAAAAAAAATGGGCTAAGATACAAAAGATAACAAAATATAACTCCTAGTCTTCTTCAAGCTTGCGGGAGATTGTCATCCGTCATTTCTTTTCCGAGCCCTGAAAAATGTTAAATAATAGGGGTGAGCAAAATTGCTCAGTCGGTAGTGCCTAAGGCACACCTCTTGAGACCCTGTGAATTCACACAATGAATAAGAATAAGGAAATTGAGATCATACAATACTCGGAGTAAAAATATAACTACAATACCACATCATTAATTCGATACTACAAATAAATATGATATGCAATGATATTCCATGCCATGCAATGTCACTTCCCATTTTCCAAAAATTATTTCCATCATCATTTTCAAACCGTTAGCGAACCCGTCCTATGGCAACTCCATGGCGGCACGAGAGGAGGATTGGCCACTGTCCCTGACCCATGGCAACTCCATGGCGTCATTTGGCCCCAGGTAACTTAACCACACTAGGGCGGTCTCTCTAGTCCCCTCTAGGCCTCACTAACGCCGCGGTCCCTAGGCAAACTCCTAGACGGCCGAATTTTTCACAAAAACCCTTTTAAAAAATTTTCCCAAAATCTATTTCCTTTTTTTCCAAATCAATTTTTCCCATTCTATCCCAATGAATGCATATATGTCTTATGCATTTCAATGACGTACTAATAAAGAAAATTTTATTTTTTACAAGTCAAATATTTACAATACACATGCCTCATAGGAATATTCTAGGAATTTACATCATGCTTCAAAATCATAAAATTCAACATTTTAAAGCACAATAGGCATAAAATTTAGCATCAATTTTACATGGTTCTTTATCACATAACAACTAACATGTATATATACACATCTCATATACAACACATAACCAATATGAAAAATAACACAAATTAGAATACAAATTATGAAAAATAATTTACCAAAATCTAAGAGATCGTGGATTAAACACCCCTATCTCAATTTAAGCCAAAAGCCCCAATTTTCACCTCAAACCCTCAAAATGGGTCAAGATTTTCGGACTCCCTAGGTTGCTCAAATATGAAATTGCTGATACACACGTGTAGAGCTCGCCGTGCTCTCCGTTTTGTTGCAAACGGCACTTAAAAACACTAAGAAATGAAGGAGAAATCAACAATGGAAGCTTGAAGTGAAAAAAAAAAAGAAAAAAGAAACCCGAGAGGAAGACACATGACAGAGACGAGAGAAAGGGAATGAGATTACAGCGCTAAAAACTTTTGTGGATCCCACCCCATTGATTTTTTTTTTTTTTTTTTGAATTTTCTTTTCTCTTTTTCTTTTGTTTTAAACTTACCACACCCTCCCCCCAGCACGCGCGCACACACACATAAAATTAAGGGAAAATTACATATAAATGGAGTTAAAGTTCCATATTTACTTAGAGGCTGAGTCAAAGTTCCATATTTCTCTAAAATGGATTGCTGAGGTGGCACATGGTTTTTTACTGTTTAGAAATTGTGGTGCCTAAAATACCCTTCCGCAAAGGTACTACTTTTTCTTCGAAGGTACTACTTTTTTGAACTGAAGGTACTACTTTTTGGTGTCCAGGTACCATGTTTTTTAAACACCCGCGAAGGTACTACTTTTTCTTCGAAGGTACTACTTTTTTGAACTGAAGGTACTACTTTTTTGAACTGAAGGTACTACTTTTTTGTTAGGGAAGGGCATTTTAGGCACCACAATTTTCTAAACAGTAAAAAATCATGTGCCACCTCAGCAATCCATTTTAGAGAAATATGGAACTTTGACTCAGTCTCTAAGTAAATATGAAACTTTAACTCCATTTATATGTAATTTTCCCTAAAATTAAATCATACCATTACATTTTGATATCTTAAGAATCATAAATTAATTTTGTTTATAGTATTAACAAAACAAAGATATCCACTTTCCAATACAAAATGTTGAGGAGACCAAGTTTTGAGAAACTACCCGTGACAAGGGATCTTTAAACAGTGCTGAAACAATTTAAAATTCTGAATTCATGGCCCAAAAAAAAAAAAAAAAAAAAAAAAAAGGAGGTTAAAAGGAGATCAAGTTTTGTGATTTCATTCTGTGTATCTTTCTTTCCAAATCTTTGGAAGATGACCCCAATTAGGGAAATAGTTACTCGATCTTGAAGTTTTTTTTTAAGGGTATAAAGAGGTAGTGCATAGCTTTGGTTGACCTTGGAAATTTTTATACATATCTTTTATTATTTATATTTTCTCATGGAATATGTTTTTGGGATTAGAGTTTTTTTTTTTTTTTTTTTTTTCCTTCCTTTCTTGGCCTGTAACTTTGCATATTTTTGTTCACAAATTGAATTTAATTAATCAAATATATGGTTTGTATAGACAGTTTTAAAAAATAGGATATTACATTATTATACTTTAAATTTGAGTTTATTAAAGATTTTTAAAAGTGGTTTTGATCTTGCATCATAGCAATAAAATATACATATATATATATATATATATATATATATATATATATATATATATATGATTTATAGAATTTTTTTTTGGTTTATACATGTACAATTTTGATTTATAAATTAAATTTTCTATTAAAACTTTTATCAAAGATTTTAATCAAGTAACTGATGGAATAGCTAAAAAAAAAAATGGAATAAAACTAATGACCATACATCTTTGTATTTATTATTAGTTGATTGCAATTAATCCGTACCGGATGGAAATGATAGCTAATGAAAATACAAGTTTTGTATCTAAATCATAGAATATTAAGAACCAAATTTTGATTGCAATTAATTCGTAACGGATGGAAATGATAACTAATGAAAATACAAGTTTTCTATCTAAATAATATAACATTAAGAACCAAATTTTGATTGCAATTAGTTCGTTACTGATGGAATGTTAACTAATGAACATATAATTTTCATATTTAAATCATAGACTATTAAAAACCAAAAATTGATTGCCATTAATATGATACACTTAATAATAATTGTATTAGAAAATTTAAGTGCCAAAAATATAAATAGACAAAGTTGGAAAGAATGCTTTAATTGAAGTAATACAATAAGAACATGTAATGTAAATTATTTAATAGAAATGATTTTGTAATTTTAGAAATATAAAGATGTTAATAAATAGAAACTTTTACCATAATTCATATATTGAAAGAATGTTTTAATTGAAGTAATACAAATATTGTACTAAAAATAAGAATACACAAAGTTGGGCCTTTTGCCACAATTCTTTTAAAGACAATGTACATCAACTCTGGAGGATTCGCCCATTCAATCTAGAACAAAATAGCCAAAGAGTTTACAAAAACAAATATTTTTTGTTAATTTTTATTTTTATTTTTTTATTTATAAATATTTACAAACTTTACTTATAAATAAAGAGTTTCATTAAACACCAACTCATAATTTTTTTAAATTTTTCGCTAATGTGTTCTCCATTTTTTTAAAAAAATACAAACTTTACTTATAAAGAAAGAGTTTCATTAATATATTCTCTATTTTATAGTCATTATTGTGGAACTAATTTGTATAATAATTATATTTATATATGTTTTAATTATTTTTATTTTAATTACTTAATATTTATTTTTATGATTTTGAATTACATACATGAACATTATTATTATTAATATTATTAGATTATATATAATAATTTTATATATGGTTGTATTATTATTTATATTATATATATATATATATGTCTAATTCTTATAAGTTGTTTACAATCAATCAAATTCTTTCCATATCAAAACAATAGAAATTTTGAGTCTCTAGTGATTCCATTCATTCTGGTTTCGACGACTCCGACTCGGACTCGGACTCGTCAGAAATATAACATAATGTGGGTTGAGTTTTGAAAATAAGGAAAATGAATTAATTAAGCATAAAGGAGATCAACGATGTCTGACTGTGCAGTGATGGCTGGTGTTTTTGGGGTTGGTACAGGATTAATTGCTTGGATTGCACATCGGGCTAGCGTCAATAACTCCGAAACACTGGAGAAGGTCCGTTCCATCCCAACCGTCCGTATATCTGATCTCCGCTCTATCCTTCCTAATGGGCATCGTAGTAAGCGTGTCTTCGTTCGTGGAGTTGTCCAGCCCAAACCCTCCGATTCCCAGAAAGCCAATCCTAATGTCCTGCATTCCGCTGAGACCGGCCAGGAAGCTATCGTTGTCAAGAGAAGACAGACGGTACGTACAAGTACACAATTATATATACACATTGTGTGTGTGTGTGTGTATATATATACATTTAATTGCTCGGTTTGCAATGACAAATATTCATAGTGACAAAGAGCAATTGCTTGCTCATTCAACTATAAGAGTAGCTACTTTGTGTTTCTGTTGACCTTTGATTCAGTTGCTCTGTTTGTAATGTTATGTTGAGTTGGATGGAATTGGTGCCTTGGAATTGGAGAAAAATTAGTAGTGTAATTTCAAATAAAAACAATGTTCATTTTGGACAAATTTTGGAATTTTAAAAGCAGCTGGTGTATCTTAAATAGGTTAAGATCGTTTGAACATGTGGAAAGATTGCATGTGGATTGACTGAGGCTAAGGTGTTAAATATAGCGGAATGGAAACATGGGATTCATGTAGCCGACCCCAAGTAATTAGGGGAAAACTTGGTTGTTGTTTTAGATTGTGTATGCAGGTGGTGGTTGGCTTTCTCTACATATGTTAGGTTTTGAGACAAAGTGTGTTGGTAAATCATTGAAGAACTATGATTACTGGTTATTATTTTTAGTGAACCAAATGATTCTTTAAAGAACCTTTAAATTTCTCAATTTGCTTCTACAATAATTAGTTAAAGATTTACAAGTTCATTTAAATTAGAATCTCGAATTTGTGAGGAAAAAAATAAAAAATACCATGTTAAGTGGGGCAATCTTTGTTGAAGATTAAGTGGTATATCAAAGGCTCAAAGACACTTTCCCTTCTCTTACGATGAAAAATTCGTTACTTTATTAATAATTCTCAAGGAACATATTCATCAACTTGCAGATAATAAGTCACTGCATAATATAAAAGCCACATATGCGAGTAATGGATGAACCTTTATTTATGGGTAAAGCATAGAGTGATGGTTCTCTCTCTATGTTTTATTTTCTGTTTTAAAAGTTACTTTGGACTAACACAAGTCACTGGACTCATAGAAAGTAGTGCACTTGTATTCATAAGTCAAAATACTATCTTGCAAATTTGTAGGTTTACATTAGATATGAATGTTTCATATATTCACTGTAGAACAATCAAGTTATAATTCTAATAATTTTGACACCTTTTTAAAAATACTTGTTATCTGAAACAATGAGGAGAAAACTCTTTCAAATAACTGGTGTGGCAGAACATTATGTAGATATCTGTGCTTTTAAAACTATAAATATAAAAAGGGAAAGTTAAGGCTTCTAGTCAGTTCTTTTTTTAATATATAAAATTTGAGGATGCATTTCAAATTATTATTGCATGGCATAAGTGATTTAGAGGAAGTTTCTCTCCACATTGATTTGGATTCAAAAACCGTTCTCTCTAAAAACTCATTCTTTTGCCTTCTGCACTATGTGTCCTACTAATATGGTAGAGCCAATTATTGATCCAGATTGTGATATGAAACTAAATGATGAACTGGCATTTTCCATTATTTGTTATTAGGTATGCACTACCATATCAGCGTATTCAACAACTTATATTAAAATGGCTTACATGACACTTTGTTGAATTATAGCTTTCTTCTTGCGAATCTTGCCACTGATTATATATAATAATCACCTTTCTTTTTGCTACATTAAATTTAATAATTTCAAACTTCTTGAATATACTTAATATTAATTTTTACTTTACTTCAATTTAATTTTTAGACTGTTAGAAAAAACTGAAGTTTTGACTTTAATGTTAATCATGCATGAAGTGCATATACAAGGAAAAGGTGATAAAAGAGGAAAAGAAACAGGATAGCGATCTTAAACCAACAACTAAAGAAGAAACTCGGGAGTGGGAAGAAACTGTATCGTCCACATATAGAAAGGTATATCATGCTATCTTTACAATCTTCTCTAACTATTATCTGCATTTACATGTCTCATTTTTGACCTGGATACTTCAATGCATCGATTTTAACAGCAAAGACGATTTTGTAATAAAGAAGTTTCATAATCCTTGTTTTCTTTTTTGGGTGAATGTAGTTTCGTTGTAACATAATAACTGCAGGAGGGTGATTTAGATGGGTAATGTTAAGAAAACCAAGTATGACCTTATATTTTTATTTTAATACCATCCGTTTTTGATCAATCAGTTTAAAGAGCTATAATTGACCTATAAAGAAAAAATTAACTATGTTTCATACTGTTGGTATGAGGTTCAACAATGTGAGGAATCACATAAACTATGACATGATCACATGGAAGTAGAGGCTTTGGTGGAGATCTATGCTGTCACAAAGGGGCCTTGATGAAGGATCAAAGAAGAGAGGAGGAAGCAATTCCTCAATAATCTCCATTAAGGCTAAGGAAATTTACTCACTTTGTCTCGAAATCTCTCATTTGGTAGTCTTGTACTACTTTATTTTTGGACAAAGACCGTGGTATAAAAGGATTAATCACTGGTCATTGTAAAGAAGATGTGACATCATTCAGAGGCTCAAGATAAGTTGTTTTACTCATTAGGTAAGGAGAGAGGACATGCATTAATGTAATTATGACAAGGAGAATCTGTTGCTGCATTGGCTCTCATAATGTTGTTCTCTTTTCCTTTCGGAGATTATATCTCGCTCCCTTCCTTTGTGACAGTTTGAGGGGTGACCACGCTGTGTGATTTGAGTGGGGTTTCTCAACAACCTTAGCAACCAGACTAATAGGGCCCCATAGTAAGAGAGCTATCAGAGGCTCTGCCCCTGGCTTGCGAAAGATCATTTCATCCGTGAGGTTTATCTGGTAGAGTGGAGTTTCTTGAAGGCCTTCTACTCAACCTCGAGGTTTATCCGTGGAGAGGAGTTCCTTGGGAGCCTTCTGTCATCCTTGAAGTTCATAGAGAGGAGGTCCTTTAATTATAAGAGGAATGCCCTCTGAAATGCTTCAGGTATACCCACATGGAGCTTCATCCTTTCTCGGAATTGCACCTGTTTTGCTGATAAGGAAAATCAGTAATTTCAATGGTATATATTTTCGAGGGTAATTTTGAGAACATCATAGTAATGATGATCAAGTATGCACTGCAAAGACAGGAGGCCTCACCATGTGTTCCCTTGTGTTATTATTGCTAGTGTCATTGATGAGTAATTAATGGGTTGGCAGGGCCAATGCCATGTGGCAGTAGTCAGACATAGGATTAATGGACTAGGTACCTACACATATTACTAATAGTGAAACTCACTCTTTCAAGCTTTAAGAAATGATTCAATTAGAATTTGTGCTACACGGACATGTCAGATAGGAACCTTCATTTCTACACTGGACATGTCAGATAGAAACCTTCATTTCTTTTCCCACTGGTCCTACTCATACTAATTTTATATTATATTGGGATGCATAGTTAAAGTTTTCATTCCTCCTCTATATACTTGCTCTACTCGCAAGGTTGTAATCTTATCAGTGGACTCAACCACATGCGCTTTGTTCTAATCAGATGCAACAGCATACTAAACCAGTGAAAATAAGAATACTCTAATGAGTAAGTATGCGCAATTGACACCCGAGTTTTTAAGTAAAGGCAAACTTCTTTTTTTTTTTTAGCTCAATGGTCTTTGGATTGTCAAGTCAACCTTTGCTAGGGATTATTTTTCTTTTCTCTTCTTTTATTTTTTATTTATTTTTTCTAAAGTAGGCTATAGATATTTACATACGTTTTCTGGTCAGTTATCATTGTTAGAGAGTCTAATTCACTAAAACATTGGTCCAGACATCCTTCCAGAAATTCTATTTTCATTAGCATCTATTAGCTTTGTGTTGTTTGATGTTACATGCCGTCGATCTCTTAACAAAGGAAGATTGGGGAAGGGGTGAGAGACAGTGCCTTTCGTTTTGGTTCTTTATGTGCATGCATTAGTTCACCTACAAACTGCTCAGGATGTCAAACATGAAAACACTGGTTTGAGTTTTGAGAGCAGCCACCTAACAAATAATGTCAAATGTTATCTATGTATTTGTTCCACCCTTCCTGCACCTACGTGATGTTCCCTTATGTTCAAGCATCTGATGCCCTATCTTCTTTACAGGTTCCTTTTATTCTTGCAGAAGGTGTTCGACGACCGTGCTCTGATTATGTTATTGTCGATACAGATGACTTACAACATTATCTGCCACTCACTAAAGTTTATTCTCACCGTTCTAGACTTTATCATCATAAATCTTCTGTGAGTCTATTAGAATCATGTTTCGATTGGTTGGTAGATTGTTAAGAAAATTTGAAGGCCCTTAGAGGTAGGGCTGTTCATGACTAGTTCAGACTTACTTGACATTAACAAGTTAAGCCTAAAAACATATTCATGAAAGGGAGTAAAGGGTTCATGGGCTCATCTAGTAGGACTTGTTCGGGCATATGTCCAAAATATTTCCATTTCAGTCTTCATTTCCAAGCTTGACTTTGAGCTTGTTGAACGAGTCAAGCCAAGCTCAAGCTTGTCAAGCAATGTCTAATCTTAGCTCAAAAAGCTCATATCTGAGCTTTTCTGAAGCATGGCTTGACTTGGATTGATTGCAGCATACTTAAAAGGAAAATTCATTCATTTTCATTTTTTGTTGTGATTTACTGCAGTTACTCTGTTTCTGGCTTTGTTCAGATGCTAACTTTTATAACAGAATGTAGATGTAAAGGCTGATATGCTGACTGAAGAGAGAATATTTCCAGTTGGAGAGGTTATCAATGCAGTTGGTGCCTGTAGTTTAGAGAATGGAGTTCCTGTAATCAGGCCCTGCAATACCCTACCCAAATTCCTGTAAGTGTTTTATTCCACAAATTATCTGTGTTTCAACAATAATAAGCATAAATGCATGTGCTTCTCCCTACACTTTGGATTATGCTATTAAGCCTTGATCATGTGTTTGTTTTCATTGACCAAATGCATCTCCATGAATTTCCATAAGGTGTCATGATATTTAGAGATCTCTACGTTGAATTTTACTGATGTCCATGAGGACCACGACACATGGAATCTAAACAACCTGTCACTACCAATCCATGCCTATAATTACAGTTCAATAGATTTACCTTTTACCCGTCCCTATACTTTGTGGTACAACTGCCTGAATAACAAATGCTTCCGTGATCTATATTTGCAGAACATACTATAGTAAGGATAGTTTAGTGAAGGAACTTTCTGATTCAGTGGAAAGTTCAATTGCTACAAGTGGAATTTTTAAGGGGTTGTCGACTTGTTTGCTTTCCTATGCTGCTGCGGACTTTCTTTATCACAAATTTTATGAGGTATTTCCTGCCGCATTATATATATATAATATATATATGTATATATATATATATATATATATATATATATGTATATATTTTCACCTTTATTGCATGCATAACTAGTGCTTGACTCAACATCTAGAGTACACATAACTTGCTTTTTATATATCAGTATGTGTTTTCTTAAAATCTGCACTGGGTTGCTGTCATATTATATCTATATATATATATAAAACGAATAATTCTTGGTGAATTGGAAAATGTTAAACCTATCAAGCATGAGAAAGACTGATCGAATCCAGAGAGGAACCACTTTGTGCTAATAATGTCGAAGGTTATGTTTATATTCAATATACTCCCAGTATCCTCAATTACCGTGGACCACACTGGATAATTTATTACCTTTATTCTACAATTAGGGTATTGGAAGAAATTGGAGAATTGAGAGTCCTCCCACCAGAGCCATGGGATGTATGCCTGGTATTAACTAGAACCAACGGTCCACTAGTGTTGGTACTACGACATTTAGTGATGGGGTTCCATCATTTTTATTGTCAAGATGGTGGTCTATTTACCAATCACTCAAAATCATTTAATTTTTTCTTCCATTCATCATTTTTGGCCTTTTGGGTGAAAGAATTATTTAATTGATTGAGCACCCATATTGTAGGGAATTAAATTATTGAACAATTTATGCAATAAGTGAACTGAATTTGTTGGTCTATGCAGAAGCTTATAGATGTGCAGATTAATTTTTTTTTTTTTTACAATTTCAGATATTTGATGGTTGTCAAAGTTAGATATAATGCATTTTCATGTAAATTAAATATCTCTCTATTTCAGGACATAGTGATCTGTCTATCTGTAATTGGTGAACAACAATGTAGCACGTAGCATTGACTCTCATAAGATTCATGTTTTGTGAGAGACAATTTCAGACACAATTTTGAAATTAAGGAACTGAATGATAAAAGATAAACAGGTGCCAAATAATGGTGGTAAGATGTTGAGTTCTATTTTATTTAGTCCCGAATATAAGAAAGGAAGGGGAATTCTAAACCATTATTTTCCTTTGGCTCCCCCTCTTTATAAGGGCGCTAAGATTCTCACTTGGTGTGGTTCCTGTTGATTGTGGGAGCAACTCAAACATTTACCAATGCGCCAAACAATGGCTCCCTTTTGTTCCCTGGTTATATAGATGTTAAAAATGATAATTGATTGTTGACAAGAGAAGTCTAATTTGATTCTGATTTTGATTGTTAGAATTGAGGCTGACTTGATTTCGTTGAACAGTATATGCAGAAAAAGAGAGACAAATAAACTGGAGGTTGTCAGAACATGAGTCCGCCTGAATGTAACAGACCTTTTAGTCATCCTTCTTTCCATCCCATGACTATGATTTCGTTCAGGCAATGGCCTCCGAATTAGCTTTATGCTTGTACATATGTTTGAATGTTAAATTTTGATTATGTTATTTTGGACGGTATGAATGGATCTGGGAAATAGGTGAGTGTTGATGATTGAATATCTTTCTGATAGTCTGGGATGTGTGGTAAATGTTTGTCTGTTGTATTAAAAAAGCAGACCACATTATAGGTTAGCTGACTCTGTGGTGTGCCGTCACCAGAGGATTCACTAATATTTCAATCCGACAAATATTTCATATCAGCATTGATTTGGCTGGTGGTACTATATTCTCAGTATTGAAAAAATTGTTCCACGGTCCTAATCACTGGTCATATCAATCTAGGACCAAGCACTAGTTGACAAGTAAGTGAAAAGTTAACATATGTATTTATTTCTCAGTTAGTGATCGACCAGAACCAATAATTTCTCTTTGTTTAGAATATAAGCAAAAGAGAGATATCAAATGAGAAAAGAGGGAAATTGAAATTGAAATGATTAGGATAAGATAGAATCATAGATTTATTTCCTTTGGAATAAGTAGTTTTTTTTTATTTTTTTTTATACCAAAATAGAAAGGCTGAACAAGGGCAGCTTGAATAGAGTTAAATTGCTCTCTGGTGAGTAGAGAATGATATCACTTTTAATTGTAATTGTAGGATTTAATTCAACGGATTTAATTAACCTGCCTTCTTTTTTCTTATTTTAGGAAACTTACTTATTTATGCAATTACCATTAAGTGTCATTGAGATGAAATTACAAAATTAGACATCTCATTAAATGAAACAAAAATCAAAGAAATTGGTACTCCATGATTCCACCACAATTTGCAGCAATACCTCAATCAAATTAGTAGCCAAGAAAAAAGGGAATGACACTCTCGATATGAATTTGAATGAAGCTAAACTTCTTAGTTCCAGTACCCTGTGAAGAGGTTCAACTCTGTTCGATAGCATTTTTGTACCAATTTACAGCAATACCTCAATCAATAGTTGGTTGGAATCATCATGGGAGATTTGACTTACCTCATTCAAATTGCCACAACTACTACAATTCTCATATATTGTAACCAATTCATATATATTAATTGAATTATAGAACTAGATGGTGATGTATGTTTTTTAAAATGAACAAAATTAATATTATTTGATCTGGATTAATTGTGAAGGGAATGAACCACCTTCACGTACGGCAGCACCGAGGCCACCACCACCTACACCGCCTCTACCATCATTTTTATTGGCAAAATGGTGGTCTATGTACCAATCACTCAAAATCATTTGATTTTTTCTTCCATTCATCTTTTTTTGGGTGAAAGAATTATTTAATTGATTGAGCACCCATATTATAAGGACTTAAATTATTTAACAATTAATGCAATAAGTGAACTGAATTTGTTGGTTTATGCATAAGCTTGTAGATGTGCAGATTTTTATTTATTTATTTATTTATTTTTACAATTTCAGAAATTTGATGGTTGTCAAAGTAATGCATTTTTGGTGAACACCAATGTAACACGTAGCTTGGACTCTTGAGAGGATTCATGTACATGTGAGAGAATTTCTGACACGATTTTGAAATAAAGGAACTGAAACATAAAAGATGAAAAACAACAAGGATGATGAATGTGACGAAAAATAAAATGATGGTTAAGATATTAATATGATATAAATTTAATAAAGACGTATAATGTATTTTATATAAAAAAAATATAATAAATTATAGTAAAAATAAACACTAATTGATTTTACTTATTTCACATGTTAATGAACTTTGTAGATACAAGAATTATAAATAAATTGTTAGTGGTATGAAAAATTCAAGTTGATTATATTTCACATTTTATGATCATTTGCATATTCTCCGAGTTTGATTTTGAGTGGGAGCGGCTTAGACTTCATTTCAACATTGAAACAGAGAGTTTTGGAGCTCAATGAGGGCCAAGCGGAACCGGTTCCAGGCCAATCTGGACAACCTGGACCAGTCCCCTCTTCCCATATATGTGTGTGTGTGTGTGTGTGTGTATATATATATATATATATATATATATATATATTCTTTCTTTTTTTCCTAGGTTACATAATAAAAAAATTATTTCCTATTTTTATCAAATAAAGATGGATTTGACAATATACTTCCTTTTTTCTTAGTTATCGAAACAAAATTTTCTTAGTAATCCATACAACACTATCCTTTTCTTTCATTTTTATTATCTCCCAAGTCCTTACTTTAATCTAGACACAGTGTAAATGTAGTATTTACAAAAGAAAACATGTTTTCTTGAGAACACTAATATTATTTGGTATGCATTTGAATTGAGTGTATAGGAGGAGTCTGATTTATTATACCCACTGGACATAAACAGTTTGAATATTAACTAGGGTGTTGGGTAAAAACTTTCATACTATCAAATTTGTATCATGATCAAGTAGGTACCAAGAACACAAGAAATGAACACTAGCCTTTATATTTATAGATTAGTACTTCTTGAAATATACAGATAAAAAGGAAAACAGAACAACAATTTATCGACTGTCATCTGCTTTCATTAACAACAATTTATCAACTGTCATCTGCTTTCATGTCCAACTTCCACAAGGAACAAAATGAAACAGGCTGTCCTTTCCACCACAAACCAACACAACCATCTCTCTCTTCCACTCTCATCTCCCAGTTACTATCATACTTCCTCAACAGGGCTCGAGCTCCGTCAATGGTGTCCTCTACAAACACCTCTCCAACAAACCCAACTCCTCTCATCCTCTCACACCACTTCTCTTTCCCTTCATTCATCTCACCTGTGTTCGTCAAGGCCTTCGCGGCCTCTCCTTCCATAACCCTTCTCTCTTCGCTCTCCCGCCCTTTAAATGCCACACTTGTTGAGTCCAAGAACCTCCACAGATACTCCACTCGCCGCGAAAACCCTGTCACAAAGTCCCCGCAGCTATTGCAGCTGCAGTCCATGTTGTTTTCACTCAGAACAACACCTTTGGGCTTTAAACCCCTCAGCACTTTCATGAACTCAGTTCTGTTGTCCGGATTGCTGTGATTCAGATGGTGGAGTCTGAACTGTGTGCAGACGATTAAAGTTTCGTCTGGAGATGAGTTGATGATTTGGGCATTTAGATTCTGCAGTGGGTGGTTGTCAACTCGATTGATCTGCAAATTGATGTTCATGGTCTTGGCGAAACAGAGGAGTCGAGAGACATAGTTATCGCCCTGTGGACCAACTGCGAATGGAGTGTCTGTGGTTTGATCATTGTCAATGGTGGAGGAGACAACTGTGAGGCGAACAAGCGGAGGAGGCCCACCAGATCGGCGAGTCAAGGCCTCGAGGAGTGTTGGCCACTGCTTACCGTGAGAGACTCCAATGTCAATGATGTGAAGATTTCGCGAGCGATCTTGCTCGGAGAGGATTTGGAGGATGGAAGCATTTGCAATGTTGTTGTGGAAGATGAACCAGGGACTAACATCATAGAACCTGAGTAGAGAATTTTGGAAGAATTGTGGTTTGGTGGAAGCAAAAGTGATGGGTCCAACTGAAGCAGAGGAGGCAGAGGAGGATAGGTAATAGGTAAGTGCTCGAAGGCCGTGATCGGCCAACCGGTGGTTGGCGTCACCAGTGGAGGAGGCGAGCTCACGGAGAACGTACACGAGGTGTTGGACACGTGTCAGATCTCCGGCGGTGATGGCAGCAGCACAAGGGTTGAGCAGCTGCTCAGCCCACCTGCCTTCTTTGTTATTACAGTTATGTCCTGCTGACTTGGCTGTTGCCTTTCTGGTTCCACCTGATTTCCTAACCGCCACCACCCCTTGATCCACCACTGCATCCCCATCATCAGCCTCGGGGATCCGACGGTTCTGATTCCTCCGGCTACTCTGGGATGCCTTGGGAGTTGGGTTGTCTGAGGCTTTTCGTTTCTTCGAGGAATCCGATGGTGGTGGGTGATAGGAAATGATGGGATCAGGTGGAGTTGTGCTTGTGGTAATGGTACTATTGGAAGTACTGCTGAAAGGGGCAGAACTCTTGTTAACTAGTTCCTGATCTAGTTCTTGACCTTGAGCCCACCATGAATCGCCGTTGATGTCACCGGAGTTGTATAGATCATCCAACAAGGAAGGAAGGAATGAGGCTGAGCCTTCTAGCCAATCTAAGATGTGATCTGACATGGGGTTTGGTTCCGGTTCTTCAATGGTCATTGTGTTAGAAAAAATGTGTGCTTGAGATGAAGTTTTTGGGGAGAGAGTTTGGAGAAAGAAGAAGGTAAAGAAAGGTTTATGATCGTTGACCAAAGAGCAAGGTAGAGAGATGTGGACTTGTGATTGTGTTAAAATAATGAATTGTGGGGATGGTATTTTTGGGAAAGGAAGGTGGAGGGCTTAATCAAAACATTGGTGTGCTGTTTTTTGGAGGATGTGATGTTTTTATTAAGGTTTTTTAAGGTGATAAGAAAGTGGGAAATTGTGTGCCTCTTTTGTTTTGGTTATTAACATATTCCCTTGTATGTCATAGTTGTTGAGCTATTAAAAGAGCCATTGGAGACAGCAAGTATTTTGAAATTTCTGGGATGGCGATGGGTTGAGTTTGAATTGTCCAGAGACGGCAAACTCTTCCTCTTTTGATTAAATAACTATTGCTTTTTTGTTTGAGACTTGCCTGCTGCTTTGCCACTGTTTTGGCTTTGTCTGTGGACCAAATTGACCTACAAACAACCCTATTGTTTACACATGGCGCTGTGTGCGCTTTTGTATGTCTTTCATGAATGAAGTTAACTAGAAATATCATTTTTGTTGATTTGGTCCTTTCAGCCTGTTCTACCTGACCAAATTTGGATGCGGTTCGGTTCTAACTTCAACTTAACCACGTGAATAGCACGCGCTATAAGTCACTTGATGTTTCCAAACAATTTTCTTAAAAATTTGATTTATTTTATACTTGTCTATTTATCGATGAGTAAGATCTTATGTTTAAATTTAAAATATAAGAGAAAAAAAATAAAGATTTTTTAAGTACATATTTTGAATCAAAATGAACAAGTATCACTCTATCATTGTGCCGCACATAAATGAGAGAATTGAGAAAAGTATTGTTTGTTTGTTTATTCTCCTAAACTTATTAGGTTTTGAGTACCAAAATATCTGGCTTAACATTAGCAAGTTGTGTTGAGGGTAGATTTTGGAATAAGTCAAAAACATTCAGCAAGTGCACATGCTCAGACACCTCATTTCAGGCTCCTATTACATTAAATTAATGGAATTGGATATGATTATACTAAAATATACCAACAGACAAAATGAAAAAAAAAAAAAAAAATGGTTCAATAGAATAAGAAACTAGAATAGGTGGGAGGATTTTATGATGAATTAATTTAAGATTAACTATCCTAGTTGTTCAAGGATAGTCCATTGAATCAAAGGGGTGAGGCTAGTGAGCTCTCATGGACAGATACAGTAATGCACACAGCCCACACACATATATATATGTAAGCATGTATGTATCATGCATGTATTGAGTGGACAAGAACCAAAGAAATAGTTGAAAGGTTAAAAAAAAATAGTCATATGGGGATTAAAAGCAAAAATGTGAAGTTACATAGACTTAACAAAACAGGTAGTCCTAACTTGACACTGTTATTTTTGGAAAGACAATGATATTGGTAATTGTCCAAGGGCAACAATGCTGACCACTAGACCATGTTTTTAATGCTCTATAATCTATTGAGTCAACAAAGACCTGCATCATGACTAAAATAGATCAATCGCACAGTGGGCTGCTTACTGCTTACCCAGTTTTGGAAATAATAATATATAGATTTAGCATCTGCCACTTGAAGAGGGTACAAGGTAGGCCCCACTGTGCATATTTTTGAATGTCCTATGGCTCAATTTTAAATACTACATCACAATGAAGGATGACCCAATATGAAGTGACATGCAAAAAGGTCTCAGCCATATCTCAGAATGAATAAATTTATCAACTTTGCTTTTAATTTATATCCAATTTCATTTGCTGTTCTAAGTGTTCTTCACATTTGCTTTTTGTCTAGGAAAAAATAAAAATAAAAAAAACACTCAGGGGTGGACTGACCACAAATTAAACGTTTAAGCTATGAATTAGTGCCTCAAAATTAGAATTGGAAGAGAATTAATCCAGTTCTAATTCTATGCTGCTGAACATAATAATAGCATAGAATGATTAAATTTCTTAACATATGTTGTCAGGGGCGGAGCCAATGAAGGCCTAGGGGGGGCACGTAGCCAATGAAGGCCTAGGGGGGGCACGTGCCCCCTGAATTGGTCAACAACCTATAATATATATGGTAATTTTTTTAAAAAATTCCATATATATGAAAAAATTTATATAGTGCCCCCTCAAATTTTTAGTTCCTAAAATTATATTTTTATTTTTTCTTTATTTTATCTTTTATTCTTCGCATTCCTTAAATTTTCTTAGTAGAAAAAGTCAAATTTTTCTTCCTCAATTGAAACTTTTCAACTATTTCCATTTAAAGTTCTCTCATTTTTCTTTCCTTTTATATTTTAATAATTTTTTCTTCTTTGTCTTTTGAATTTTATAATTGTTATATATATATATATATATATATATATATATATACTCCGTATTATTATTATTTTTTTGACAGCGTACCCCCTCACTTGAAATCCTCGCTCCGTCACTGTATATGTTGTTCCTAAGGGGAGAAATATGTCCAATGGGGCCAAACTTACGGTACCCTGAAACCCAATCTGCAATTCTCAACATCCTACCCATCGTTATCTGTTGTACAACAACAACAGTTTAAAAATTAGAATTTCAACTACTAGAACTCTTCGATGGAGAAATAAAGCAGGCTCTTTCTTGTTGATTTGTTTACATATGAACTTTGCCGGCTGAAATAGATTAGTAGGGTCAAATAGGTAATAGATCAATGAAAAAAATATCTTGGTTGGACAGGAAGAAAAAAAGAAAAAGAAAAAAATATCAGATTTTAGTTCAAGGTACAAATGAAAAGAGAGAAAGGAACTGCTAAAGAAGAGTTGGGCATGCTTTATAGGCTTTTGCTACTGAGTGTCACCTACTTATTGTACATTAAAGTCCTTCAACGTGTAATATTTGCTTTGGATTTATTTAAAAGTCCATGTAACATGCATTTTGAAATGCTAGCCTAATTTTTTCACCATGGTATGCATTCAGCCCACCATTTCGCTTGGAATGGTGGGCCTGTATAGCACCATTCTGTCTTGAATCTATAGAGCAACTACAAAAATTTGAGAAAGTGATGACACTACGAGAAAGAGAAAAACATAGACCTCTTTAACCATCAAATATTTGAAAATTCTCTCACAAAACTCCCAAAATTCTCACCTCAATCTCTCTTATCCCGTCAACTGTGTGAACATAACTAAGAATTAGCAATTCCAACTCTAGGTATTAGAATTTTAACTACTAGAACTGTTTGATGGAGAAAGAAAGCAGGCTCTTTCTTGTTGATTTGTTTACATATAAACTTTGCCGGCTGAAATAGATTAGTAGGGTCAAATAGGTAATAGATCAATGAAAAATATATCAGATTTTGGTCCAAGGTACAAATGAAAAGAGAGAAAGGAACTGCTAAAGAAGAGTTGGGCATGCTCATCTATTACCTATCGTGAATGCATCCATATAACCATAAAAATGGAGGGTTAAATTCCCCTTCATGTGCTACAAAGAGGACAGCCAAATCAACCCATTGATCCCAACCATGAGTCACCTTAGCTATATCCGTTTCTGAGGACTGCTATGAATAGTCGAACAAGCATTCGTGAGCATTACGACATATACTATTGAATGATGTGGGTCTCACATCGCGTGAGGACGAGGATGTACACCGTTGAATGTTATGGCTCTCAGAGTAGTGGGGTGCGTGGACGAGGATGTACACCGTTGAATGTTATGGCTCTCAGAGTAGTGGGGTGCGTGGACGACTGTTCTTAGCATAATACACCGTTGAAAGGGTATATCCTCGTCAGCAGATTAGTCTATTCTATTCACAGCACGCATGCTCACATGAGAAAATATAAAATAGAATCACTAGCTACCAATAGTATTCAAATGTTTGATTTCAAATTAAAAGAGTTCCATGTAAGGCTTGGCTCTTTTGCTACTGAGTGTCACCTAGTTATTGTACATTAAAGTCCTTCAGCGTGTAATATTTGCTTTGGATTTATTTAAGAGTCCATGTAACATGCATTTTGAAGTGCTAGCCTAATTTTTTCACTATGGGATGCATTCAGCCCACTATTTCGCTTGGAATGGTGGGCCTGTATAGCACTATTCTGTCTTGAATCTAAAGAGCAAATACAAAAATTTGAGAAAGTGACGACACTACGAGAAAGAAAAAAGCATAGAACTCTCTCCTCACTTCAAGAGCCAACTCACAAAACTCCCAAAATTCTCACCTCAATCTCTCTTATCACGTCAACTGTGTGAAAATAACTAAGAATTAGCAATTCCAACTCTAGGTAGATTACTAATTGCGATATGAAGCTAGATGGAATTTGAGCTAAGCTCCGGCACAAGTATGGGATTGAGGTCAGCAGCATGCAAGTTGCAAACTTGTAACCGTACGAGTAAGAGTAAGAGTAAGAGCAGGGCAAGATATTGAGGGAAAGCATGGTTACAATGTACGCTTAGATGGTTAAAGAGAGAAACCTAGGTACATTGTTGATGATACAGCTTGATAGAACAATACTCAAGCAAACCCCACAGTCGAGAAAACTTTAAGTAAATGGAAGTCCTGAAAGGGAGATGATGACCCTTTATATGATTAAATGGGTGTCATTTGAGAAGTCACTTGGTAGGGTACCTCTTATCAGTAGTTGCACTTGATAAGCTTTCCCTCTAACCTATGCTATAGCCATGTCTGAGAAAAATGGACAACCATTCATTTGCTTATTTCATATTGTGCATCAATCATTATGGTTCCTTATAGATGAACTGATATCGCTCTTAAATCAGTAATTACCACACATAGAAACTATAGTATCTTAATATAGAAACAACATGCATAATTTCATAATCCATATGATTATTACATATATAAACTATGATAACATATAAAATAAAATATTCTGAATGGAAAATTTCTGTGAGATTTAATTCTTACCTTCCGCAATGCCTTACAAGGTTGTGGATGGCATTATTGACATCATACCTCAAGCAAGACATGAAGTATGTTGTCGGCATGTATACAACTTTAGGACCAAATTCCCAGGATAAAACTTGAGAAAAAGGAAGCTCATTCATGCTGGTGAAAAATGTGCCTCTGAATGCAAGGGCTAGCATAGGTTTAGAAAGAGTGGCCATAATACAAACAGCATGACAGAATCTTTAAATCAGTGAGTTTGAAAATTTAGGGATAAATCAGTTATAGGATTGGTTGGGGAAAGGCAACTAGTTTGATGTTAATGGGCAAAATCCAACAAGGTTTATGAAAGCTTGGACTTAGGACTCATTTGTCACTCCAAATGTAAACAAAGAATTGGATATAATTAAACATGATTGCATAATGGGTTCTCTGATAGTTGATGGAGGTTATAGCAGTGTATTGGCTTGGGTGGATCCACTAGATTCACAATAGATCTGAGTATTAGATCCTGTCAGTGTGAGGCTTGAAATATTGTTAGAATCCCTTGGAAGCATGCAACTACATCCATTCCTAGACGGCACATGTTGGCATTCCGCACGTTAAGTGACACTCGGTGATTCTTCACAAGGGAGATTTACTTGAGGGCACACGTTGACATAATGCACCAGCATAGTAATTACAAAATGAGGCCAGAAGAAAGACATGTAGTGTAACCCTCATCCCTTCATAGATTGTCCACTAGACCTAGGAGAAAGGGGGAAGACTAAGCATGTGAGCCTATCCCTTCCTTCATAGATTATGCACTAGACCTAGGAGAAGAAGTAGCATATGAGCCTATCCCTAACAGTGAATCTGTAGGCCAAGCACAGCCAAATGCCAATTTGTCAAGGCATTTGGTCACAACAAGAGAGTGTGTCGAATATAGGGGGAGGGAAGAGGTGCAAGTAGGCCTCAGGGGTAGTGCACTGTCCAGAACAATATCATGATCTAAAAAGTGCAGTATCAAGGCCAATTTCATTCTCAGGCCAGTTTCAAATATTCAATCATCTCAAGAAAATTTCAATCTCGGGGGCAATTCTAAAGAAATTCCATGAATGCCCCCAACATTTAAGATAGTTTCACACGGAAGGGCAGTTTCTAACAGTGTCTCAAGATTCGTCTCAGGTAGTGGCGTGGTTAAAGTCGAGGCTGGACAAGAGGGCAGCCTCAGAGGGGTTGACACTAGGAGAAGCAAGGAATCTGAATATGCTGCTTTCTGATGATTCATTATTTGCTGGTGGTGCACAGTGGTTTTTAGGACACTGTTTTAGTATTCTATTGACATTAGTCATAAGTTATCATCAGGTTTTAGACATACATTGATACACCATGCTTTTTCAATTGTACTTTTTGTTCATATGACATGGTTGAGGTATTATCGGTGGTATAGTGAGGACACAACACTTGATGATAAACTTTTGAGTTGACGCATGGTGGTATAGATGGTGGTATAGATGGCGGTAGGCTTACCTTTTTGGGATAAAATGGCTTGTATGGACACAATTTAAGAAATAATAGAGACATGTTGAAATTACGGAGTATTAAACTTTTGTGCATCAGATGGATGCACTACGGAGTTGGAAATATATTTGCTATTGGTGGCAGGCTTTAGTGTGTACCCATACTCCTTGTATGTGCTTGTGCTTGTAGGTCTTGGTGTCCTGGTGTTCATGCTTGGTGAATTATGTTGCATTTTTTCAATTTGAGTTGATTATTATTATATTTTTTTTGATAAGTAATTTGAGTTGATTATTTTATTTTATTTTTAGGCTGGGCAGGCAAGCAAACATTCACCCACCCATTATTACCCCAAGGGGGACTTAAACCCTCCCTCCTGAGAAGAGAAGGAAAGAGCACTTAAGTTGATTCAAGAGTCAAGACAACAATTCCATTAGCAAATTCAGAGGGCTGGCAAATTCACAAAATTAAATAATTGAATGTGGTAACTTTTAATTCACAAACGATTAATATTCTTTCTGCTGTACTTTTTATATAAAATAATTTCCATCCATAACGATAGGTTGATTGCACAAGCACATAGCTCAAATTAACAAGTTAATTGCATACAAATAGGAGAAACGGAACCAGAAACATCAATTGTAGAATAAATTCCCCATTTCATTAATCAGAAACAAATAATCATCACCTATAGCATGCGAGACATTTCATTGAATTTCTAGTAATATTATACAGTCAGACAGGTTCCCAAAAAGAAAAGGCCGATAGAAAGTGTATCCTGAACAGTGTGAAAATATGTTTCTTCTGCTTTCATTTATAAGTCATGTAGATGAACAAAAAAAAAAATCAACAAATAAATGAAAGAAGAAATTTGTAAAGAGAAAATGCCAAACAAGAATTACCCATTTACAACGGCAACAACCCATATGGAGATACCAACACTATGAACAATCTTTAATCTGTATGATTCCCATAGCAAGAATGCTCCTTTAGATCCAAAATTCGTGTTCTCTGGCTTCTATCTAAACAATTTTGATTCTATATAACCCGGTAAAATGTGCTCTGTCAGGGCATATGATGAATATCCAAAATGCAAATTCTCTTTAATATATACCATTTTCCTTCAGCAATTGCCTTCTCTTGATTACCAAGAAGGCCACCACAAATACCTGCAAGGCTGCCGCAATACCCACAAACGCCCATCCAATTTTCTTCCCCAATTTGAGCCTTTGGTTTGAGGTCTGACTCGTATTCGTATCCTTGCTTTGATCTTGTTCGGGATTCGAAGGTGGAGGAGGACTACGGGGAGAAACCTTTTCTGGCGGGGGTGGAGACCGGGGAGGGGGAGCGAACGGTGGAGATGGTGGTGGTGGAGGTAATGGCGGAGGAGGCGGTGCCATTGGAGATGGAGGAGGCGGTGGAGGTGGCGATGGAGATGGTGGAGGTGGAGGGGGTGGCGGAGGCGGCAATGGAGATGGTGGAGGTGGAGGTGGTGATTGATCTACATCATCCCCATTTACCGGCAGAGTTAAAAACCCATAGATGACTCCGAAACTCAAAACGATTAAGGTCAATAATGGTGACTCCATATAATAACAACGGTACCAATTTGGTACCAATTTGTTGATATCTTTTCCCAATTCAAAAACAATGGTTGTTCAAACCCTTGAAATAAAAGAGGTAGGGTTATGAAATTAGGTATGTTTTGAGAATGAAGATGCTCGTTGTGGTGAAGAATCAACGCAATGGGACAAACGGGATTTGTTTTTGTCCCAAATTGTTGATTTCTTCTCCTTCCAATAGTAGACCACCAATTGTTCGATAATTGGCCAAAGAGAACTAGGGTTTACACATTTTGAAATGGGTCAATTGGGTTGTTGAGAAATCAAAGATTGAGTAGTCAAAAGGTTTTCTCAGGTATGGAGAATAGAAAGAGGGAGGGACAGCAGAGAGGTTAGAGAGAGAGAGGGACAACAAAGAAGATTGAGAGAGAATCTACGGGCTTCAACGGTTTGGCCTAATTTGGGCGATATGACTGTTGCAAACGGAGTCTTCAGATTGTAATAGCTGTATTTACTCGTTTTATACTCATGATTAGCATTGGGTTTAATTGGGATTAATAATTGTCTAATCTCTATAATTTTTTAAATCCACCAAAAATAAAATAAAATAAAAAGTTATAAAATTATTTAATTAAATATTTTACACAAGTAAAATGAAAATAATTAAGAATAATTACATCTCGTCTAAAGTTTAGTTATTATATACTAACTTCCCCTCTTGTTTACCAAATAATAGTGACTTCTTTCGAAGTTTATATATTGATAACATGGACTTTCCCTCCTATGTCATTACACAACTAATGGATTATGTTTATGTTCGTGAGAAAAAATCAGTATAAAGACAATTTTGCCCTTCTAATATCTGAAATGACATTTTTAACCTCAATAATCACAGCAAATTTACAATATTATCATTGACTTGTAAACCCAAAAGGACAATGGTGCCCTCGTATCAACAAACCCAGAACACCTAATGGGTCTAAACTATCTATATACAGTACACACACATATATATCTATAAAAACACACACACACACACATCAATCTGATCCATACATACATATATAATATATATATATATACATACACACACACATATATATCTATCTATCTATCTATATATACACACGGCGGCTGCGAAGGCCGAATCAGGGTTAGTCGACCGGATCATTTTGGGTTGTGGATTGGAGGTGGCGGTGGTTGGGCGAGCTTGGAACGGCTGCTACGAATCACCGGCAACGATGGCCTCGGAGAACCCAAATGCTCGATCTCGGAGAACCCAGTTCGGGCACAACCGGTGGTATCACAAGGGTCGGCCGGATCGACTTTTGATGAAGCACCAGTGATAGACATAAGAATATATGATGCAGTGGCCGGAGGGATCCATGAGAATGAGTTGGGGCTTGGTGCCGTACTAGTCGACTCGGAAGATGAGGTTGCCTTTTCGGGTTGTAGACGGTGAAACCATCGCCGGGGAAGAAGAGAGAGGTCTTGTGAACAGTAAGGTGGGTCTCTTCTTCGTATGCGAACTCATCATCAACAACTACGATGCCACTTTCCATTTTTTTCTCAATTTTTGAAATTGATAGCTTTCAATTGCTAATAATATACAATATGGTAAATTACACAGACTCTCTTTCTCAAATCAGTCGCTTGCTTCCCGGGATAGTTCCTTCTAGCTTCACCACGGTTTAGTTAGTCCATGCTTGTCGGTAAAGACATCTTCGTTCGCCACCGGTAAGAACAGTCCCTTGCATCGCCGTCGTTCCGAGTGTTTAACGGTACATTCCGTTGTCGAGCACATCGCTGTCCATGCTCTTCTCCGTTGACATCACCCGTCTCCAGCACAGACGGACTACCAAGGTGGGAATATATAAGAAACAAACATTTGGAGATAGGAGAAAGCAAGCAAACATGGTTGCCGAGGAGCTGTCAGGGACAGAGGAGAGAGAGGGGGGGCTTGTTGGCAGTGGCAAGGCCATGGGAAAGGAGAAGGAAAAAAAAAATCTTAAAAAGGGTACTATTGGTAATTTATATTCTTGATATTTTATATATTTTATAATAAATTAATAAGTAAAGGTAAATTAATAATTGGGTAAAGTACACGAACACCCCTTGAGGTTTGGCATAAGGACAGTTAGGTGAAAGTTAGCTCTTTTTGGAACAATGACACCCCTTGAAGGTTCAAAAATGGACAAAGACAACCCATGCAACCAATTGGCAAAAAATATTGACTAAATTGCCCTTTGACTCTACAAGTTAATAAATTGGACTAATCTACCCCTCATGATCAATTTATGCATCTCTACCGAACTCGCTGCCGGCTCTCTCACCATCACATCACCGGCTATTTTGTCCTCCGGTCTTGGTCTCGGCATGGAGCCTCTCTGTTCACAAGCTTTCAGTGCCAAACGTCCAAACCTTCTCTCTCTACACCTGCATTGATAGAGGAGAAAAGAGAGACCTCCTCAACGAAAACCACCAACAAAACCCAGTCCCGCAGTTCAGACTTCAGATCCATCTTTCTTGCTCACCGTCGCCAGTTTAGAACCTTGCTCGTCGATCTCCTCCTTGCACACCCATCACTGGAATTGTGACCGCAGATCACCACACCATCATCGCCGATTCAGTTCGTCCACCTATTCGTTGACCCATCAGACACAGCTTCGCCGTCAACCACCGCGGATCTCTATCAGATAACACAACAGAGATTGGCTAATTAATTTATTTGCTAAATCAATTTATTTATTATAGTTTTAGTTTCTTCAAGCTAGGCATTTAAAGACTCAAATTCACGCACATACGTGATTTTCTAACACTATTTTAAAATGGAAACAGAAGTATAATGTTGTGAAAATATCAAACCGTCACAATGCAGCTGCATTTCTGCCAAATTTTCACTTTGCTTCGCCTTTTAAACGCGTTAAACTCCTATGAATTTGGGAAATATTCAGAATTTTATACATGATGTATATACTCCTTTAGCAAACTCTGCAATTAACAAAGGATTTGATCTAAATTCCTACCTGCTCTGCAAATTTCCTTTTGTGGTTATCCGCATATCTATGTTATCAAGCAGAGCCTAGAATCAGTGCCATTCAATTCTTCCACTTCTATGAATTACGACATTTATAAAGCCAATTGGATTTAGCACTTGTTTAAATTATTATCTTGACTAGAAGAAAATGAGAAAATTGTGCATGTTTTTAATTTGGTTTTGATAAATATTACATCTGCCGGTCATTATTCTGATCCTCCCAATGAGTTTCTGCTCGAAGCCAAGCTGCTGTCTACCAAAAACACAAAACACAGCTACCACCATAAAATAGTCATTTGTGAAAATAAGAAATACTGAAAAAATTTCAAGCCTTAGAATATATCTCATAAATAAATAAATATTTATTTATATACATATATATATATATATAACTCACCCAAAATTCTTCATCGATTAGCCACAAAATTCCCGAACTCAATTATATTTTATTGAATGAACTCTTCTATTTTCTTCAGCTTTAACCCTCATTTTCTCTCTCTAAAACTATTCTCTCTCTCTCTATATCACTCTCTCAGCAATCCCTCACTCCTTTTCCCATTCAGGGGCAATTTTGTCCTTTTAACAGGTCTGTTCTTTTACCATAAATCTGAATTTAATATTAAAGGGCAATTTTGTCTTTTCATATGATTTAAGGCCTTGTTTGGATGGAATTTTTTTAAGGGGGTGTCATTGTCCCAAAAATAGCTAACTTTCACGTGAGTGTCTTTATGCCAAACCTCAGGGGGTGTTAGTGTACTTTACCCTTAATAATTTTACAATTAAAAAAAAAATTTTGTGCAAATTGACAAAACCTCAGGAGAGGTGAATCGTAATTTATCAAATAATTATCAACATAGCGAAGAATTAGTTCCCGCAGCAAATAAGGTTGACAATATTATAAAAAAATAAACACATTACTTTTCCTAGCAAGTAAGGGGGAGGGGACCCAAATATGGGCATCTGCTCGGAAAGTTTGGTGTTTTTACAACTAATCTATTAAATAAATCTTATACTTAAATAACTCGTGTTTCCGTATTTGTGTGATTGGTAAACAAATTACTACAAAACAAAAGTTTATTTCAAGATATTCTATTGAATTTCGATCAGTCAATGGGCCTAGTCTGTACTTAGATATGAAATCTTTAACTCTAAGTCAATCCAATCTAACCCACGCTCAATTTATCTTTTATTATTTAAGCTTGGTTGAATTTGGCCTCACCATCAGGACTAGAAAATTTTACGTTGAATTCAGACTTTCAACTCGCGTTGCTATTTCATATTAAAATTTGAGTTGCTAGAATAACAAATAAAATAACCATATTAGAGTTACTAGGTGAGAACTTACTAATTTTAAAGGATAGTGATACATTAGATTGTATCTATATGTTACAACTTACAACTAAGCAAAGTCACTAAAAAAGCCAACACAAATATATACACCCTCATATAATATATTATAAATGTATATGGAGTTCATAAGTCGAGTTTGTTGAGCCCGGCTGAAAATGAATTCGGTTGTTTCTTTTGAATCCAAACCCGAACCAAAGAGTTCAAGAGTGCAAGTACACAAAGCAAGGGCTAAGCCCAAACAAAGACCAATGCCTTACCATGCTAAAACAACAGCAGAGCATTACAGAAGAATACAGAAACATTGGTTACAAACTTAAAATCTGAAGATGCACAACTCCAGCTTCCAAAAATCTAAAATATTACTAACTTTTGATAATTTCTTTATGTCTTTTTAAATATATACACCCATCAATTGTTCATTGATTGATCTCCCATTTGAACTAGCCTCTCACTTAACATGGTAGCAAGATTATATCTTTTCTAGTCACAACAACAGCAACAAAGGAGTAGTGTCAAAAACCGTACTAGCCGAGTTAGCGTTATCAGCTTAATTGAACAACATTATTGAATGAGAAAGATAAAAATACTTAAAAGAAGGATTGCTAGAAAATAAATAATCTGGTGATGGAATGTGATGAATTAGGCACGGATGTACACCAATTTTTTGTTATTGCATTTTACACTTCTAAATTTGTACCTTTTCGCATTTATGCTCATAAAGTTTTGAAATTATCCCCACTGAAATTATAAAAAAAAAATCATTCCATATAAATTTGCCCCCCTCGTATGAATTTCTAGATCCGTCGTTGATATTGATTATCATCAAAGACTAGTCTGTTCCGTACTTGCTTAATTTTAATATTTTAGTGGTGGGATTACAAAAGTGAGTAGCAAAAGTATTCAGTACTGCATGAGGATGAAGTGCACAAATGATAATTTCATATGATCAAAACAAAATGGAGAGGCACGTGATTGCCAGACTTCAATTATTTTCATTTTTAGCTACTATAGCTCAACTGTGCTGGTGGTATATGTAGTTGAGAATCTCAATGCTGTAAAGGGTACACTTTTCTCTCCTCACCAAAGACTTT